CAGACCAGCAACCAGGGTGATTTTACGAGTCTTTGCTGTGAATATGAGGTCTTTCTAAGCTTACGAAGGCACAGAGCAAATGCCATTACTATAAAATGGATCGTCTTTAATCTTGGGATCGGCTTTGCAGGAGGAAGTCCCCCTTTGTTATGAAAATGAAACCTGGGAGAATGTGACCTTGGAAGAGTTTATGTCATGCGACAGTAACCTTGCCGCAAACAGACAGACACGGATGTTGGCAGGTAAGACTCTCTCTCTCTCTCTCTCTCTCTCTCTCTCTCTCTCTCTCTCTCTCTCTCTCTCTCTCTCTCTCTCTCTCTCTCTTTCTCTCTCTCTCTCTCTCTCTTTCTCTTTCTCTTTCTCTCTCTTTCTCTCTCTTTCTCTCTCTTTCTCTCTCTCTCTCTTTCTCTCTCTTTCTCTCTCTTTCTCTCTCTCTCTCTTTCTCTCTTTTTCTCTCTCTTTCTCTCTTTTTCTCTCTTTTCCTCTCTTCTCTCTCTCTCTCTCTGTCTCTGTCTCTGTCTCTGTCTTTGTCTCTCCTTTTCCCTCTCCTGGTAAAACCATGTAATAAAAATCTTTTATTCATGCAATATACTAAAGTGGAGTTTGTTGTCTTGACTCATGTTTTAAACTTGCCTAAAGATGTTGTAAAGCTTAGTTTTTTCTGTGGATTTTCTCTTACAGAAATCTGTTGTATTCACCAACAACATACATCTAACAGCACCAATCAAAGCAATGCTTGACTCTTATTACTAATGATACAACCTAATTATGTCTTCAAAAAGATATTTTCTTAGAAAAAAATGAGAGAAAAAAATCAGATAAAGATGAATTATATCTGTGAAGATAGCAAGTCAAATTTACATTATCTTATCCCATGCTGATTACAGCCCATAGATTTGCATAGGCAGGGACTTGCTTTCACAATCTAACTTTTCTTGTTCAACAGTTGACTTCACCGTGCTAAAAGTCCTGCAAATGATTGGATGGAAATACATGTAAAAAGTATTCAGAGTAGTTAGCGAAGCCTTTAATAACGAGAGCTTAGTAAGATTAGTTTGATTAGTTCTCTTAAGTAAATTTAGGGTGAAAGCTAAATCGCTATACATTTCTCCAAGGACGGTTTATCATTTTTTTCGTTTTGTTTTGTTTTACGCAGATTCGAAATGAACAAGTAATAGATGTCTCCAAGATTTAACAAGCCTTCAAGAGGCATTTTCAAAAGAGAATATTGAACTCGAGTGAAGTAAGAAGTCCGACAGATTGGAAAAAGGTTTACAGAATGTGGGAAGGATATCTGCATTGGGGAAAGCCTAATTCATAAATTTTTGTCTAGATTTTCATATGTGAAAGAAAGATTTATGTGGTATGGAGTGAGGAAGGTAGGACTTCCTGTTGAGAATACCTGACATAACTTATGTGCATCTTTTCGGCTCTGCTATAATATTTTCAGAGCAAAAGGCTTTAGAATTAAACAATATTCATAAGTCTTTGTAAATATCAGTGCTAAATAATGATTCCTGTGTGGAACTGATGATTTCTTTGGTAGTATAAACAATTTCCACCAAGCTTTTGTAGATGGGCAGGAATAGGACCATAAGTAAAGACTACCATGGGATTTTTCTAGAGGAGAAAAAGAGGTTTTTAAATGTCTTTTTGAATGAGACCGGTTTATTAGTTGTATGAATTTCATTTCTCCCCTTTTTTTCAGATTTAGCCCTAGTTGGCTGCTATAACGTCTCCCTCATGAGCCCAGAAGAACGTGCGAACACCATGCTGCTGTCGGCCAAGAAAAACCTGAAGAAGATGGCATTCTTCGGTCTCACAGAAGACCAGGAAATCAGTCAGTACCTTTTTGAGGAAACCTTCAATTTAAAGTAAGTTCGGAGTTTTTATCTCATGGTCTGCTCTGTAGAATAGAATCTTCTTTTTTGTATTTTCTACCAATTACTCTTTCTTTTTCTTCTTTTTTTAGATTATTATAGCTTGTGGTGTCATTTATGTATAAGGCCATGCCATGTAACTTTTGAAGGTTAACAATATGTTTAACTATGTAATTTTTGAAAGTAACACATGTATGCAAATTTTTGGTACAATAAGCTGTGTACCAAGTGCTGCATACATTTTCTCTTTGATATTTATGAATCATAGACTGCTACTTTTGTGGGTGGTAAATAGACTTCATTTACAAGTCAATGAATTCTCATTATGCTGCTTTAAGTTTCGATAAAGACATCTTTATAAATGGTGAAGCTTTGTGTGAATTATTGTAACGTGCATCTGAAACTGTGTTAAACATGCTGCTTGTCTGAAGCCTTATTTATAACTTCTGGGTAGAATAAAGTTGGTGAAAATTACATATTAATTGTATAGTTTTATTAAGAAAGTAGCTTTAAGTGGTACTTCAATTGACATATCTGCATCTTTAAGAAGTTATTGTATTAAGTTGGATTGGCTGTGAGTGTAGACAGGCATAATAGATACATTTCTCTCTCTCTCCATATATCTTTATTTCTTTCTCTCTTTTTCTCTCTCTCTTCATTTCTTTCTCTCTCTCTCTCTCTCTCTCTCTCTCTCTCTCTCTCTCTCTCTCTCTCTCTCTCTCTCTATCTTCATTTCTTTCTCTCTCTCTCTCTCTCTATCTTCATTTCTTTCTCTCTCTCTCTCTCTCTATCTTCATTTCTTTCTCTCTCTCTCTCTCTCTATCTTCATTTCTTTCTCTCTCTCTCTCTCTCTCTCTCTCTATCTTCATTTCTTTCTCTCTCTCTCTCTCTCTCTATCTTCATTTCTTTCTCTCTCTCTCTCTCTCTATCTATCTTCATTTCTCTCTCTCTCTCTCTATCTATCTATCCATCTATCTCTCTCTATCTTCATTTCTCTCTCTCTCTCTCTCTCTATCTATCTATCTATCTATATTTCTTTCTCTCTCTCTCTCTCTCTCTATCTCTATCTCTATCTCTATCTCTATCTCTCTATCTATCTATCTATATTTCTTTCTCTCTCTCTTTCTCTTTCTCTTTCTCTTTCTTTCTATTATATATATCTTGTCTCTCCTTGCAGGTTCAAAGTGAGATTTGAACAACACAATCAAACCATATCAGATTCTGCCTTCAGCGACATTGACCCCTCTACCCTGGCACGGATAAAAGAGCTCAACTACCTTGACATTGAGCTCTACAACTACGCCAAGAGCCTCCTCCACCAGCGCTTCAGGAAGATGTCCACTGAAGACCCTCACTTCAAGCACCACTTCGAGAACATGGGCCACAGTCAGTTCTCGTGGTCGGATATAGAAGACGAGGCCTGAGGGTTGCATTATAGGCCTAATTTTAGGGGGAGGATATTTCTCCTCTTTTTTTTTTTTATTATTATTCATTTATTAAGTTTTTTTTTTTTTTTTATTCATTTATTAAGTTTTTTTTTTTTAATTATTAATTTATTATTATTATTATTTTTTTAATTATTCATTTATTAAGTTTTTTTTTTTTTTTTCTTTTTTTTCTTTTTTTTCTTTTTTTTCATCAAATGACTGTTATAAGATAATTCAGATGATATATTTTATTAGATTATATGAAAACAGTAGGTTCATAGGTAATGAAACTTGTCCTTGTGCAATTTTATATATATATATATATATATATATATATATATATATATATATATATATATATATATATATATATATATATATATATATATATATATATACACACAAATATGTATATTATAAAGATATACAGACAGACAGACAGACATGTGTGTTTATATATATACATATGCTGTATTTATATATACACATCCATGTAAAAATGCAGACATACATATGTATATGAATATATACATATATATATAATGTCATATTTATATTTGTATATAAAAAAAGTGCATACTTTTATATTGTAAACCAGGATATGATTATGGAAATCCATCGGGAAATATATCACGACGTGCATGCATTCCTGTCAGGTGTTGAGAGCATTTCCCGGTTTACGGTGTATGGATTGAGGCCGAGGTATTTTTTGTGATTATCTCGGCCTCTTCATTATATTAATGATATTCAAAATATCCCTTATATATTGATGTAATTTTGTTTCAAAATGTTTGTGTACGAGTAATGAGTTGGATGAAGCAGTGTTTTTTTTTTTTTTTTTTTCCCTCTCTTCTTGTTTTTCTTCATTTGCTTTCTTTCTTTCATTCTCCACCTTTCGTTTTTGCAAGACTGAAAGAACGTGTGAGTATTTAACGGACAGGTTTTTGTCTGTTCGTTAGATCCTAATTTTTTTTGCGTTTCTCATCCCTGCTGTGAGTCGTAGGGAGAAGTAGCTCTTGGAGGTCACTAAATATTGCTCACTTTTGGCTCGTCTGAATTTCTGCACGATAGATGTTATGCATATATTTTCAATACATATTTTCTGCTTTCTCTTATTATTTCTTACATTGTTGCTGCCGCGTTGTTCCTCGCGTTCATTCGGAAATGCATTGTAGCTAGTACAAAGTGTCTCCTTGGTTGTCATGTCGAAAGTACCTACAAGTTATTCTTTTCTTGTATATAGTTTTATCATATCCTCATTTCGAAATATTGTAGGTGGAGACGGCGATAAATGATAATTGTAGCAGTTGTAGTGTGTATTGATGGAGAAATTGAGAATAAAATGATAACCATAATGATAATATGAATATGATCATTCCTGGAATAAGATCTCAATAGCTGGGTATGGTATATATTGTTTTGTAGCCAATATTATACTAGCATTTAATTTCCGTCTGAAGAAGTAGTTTGTTGATGAACTGATTACTGTATTTTGCAGAAACTAAAAAGAGCTTGTCCTTTTTCAAAAGATTACTGTGATCTAAATATAGAGAGAGAGAGTGAGTGTGTGTGTGTGTGTGTGTGTGTGTGTGTGTGTGTGTGTGTGTGTGTGTGTATAATCGACAGACACATAGCTTTTCTGTTTTGTTGTGTGTTTTATTGTGTTCACAAAAGCTTTACCAAATATGTTGGT